TGGCAACATTACATTGCAAGTGATAAGCTTAATGGGGAAGGATAGTGTTGCCAAGAGGAAGCATTTGCAAAAGTTGGATTTCTCATAACTGCCAGAGCGGCGCCTGCATTGTAAGTCGACCCCCAGCATGAATTATTAAGTCCCATTCATTGCCCTGGAATTAAAGCCATCTCAATTAAGGGCTTTGGTATGTTTATCCACACGTAAAAAATTTCTTCTACACCCCTAGACCAGGCCTTGTTAAGAATCTGATTCTGACCCAAATGCAGAAGAACACTTAACTCCGGAAACGAGGGGTGCTGAGACTTCAGCTTATATCCTCTGCCCTAGAGCAGTTCCTCAGTGTTGTGGTGTGAAAAGGGTATTCTGCACATGCCTAGAGGTACTCCTGTCTTGCTTACTACTTTTTGTGTTTCAAGACTTCCATTGTTATGATATAACACAAAGCTGTATGTACACAGAAAGGGTCTTTGGCACATTATATGTGTTGATTGGCATATAAATGCCAGGACGGCTGCATTACCATCATCTTTTTGTGTGTGAAATACAGCAGAGAATTATGCAATTATCGCTATCTATACTACATATTATCTTCATCTGACCTCATTGTTTGCAACCCCCGCAAAAAGATAACCACACAACACTCCATGCATTTGATGAAGTGGGCTGTAATCCACCAAAGCTTACACCATAATACATCTTTTTGTTTTTAAAGTGCCTTAAGATTCTTTGTTGTTCATCTTATACATGTCAGCTCAGAAGTACCGTAAGTCCCACAAAGTTCACTGTGGCAGACTGCCAGGAAACTGGGCAAAGAGTTGCAGGCTTAGGCATGTTTTATACTTTTACAGTATTTGATATGGTTGTTGTGCAGTGTTAAGAGGTTTTGGGGCAACGTGCCACCAGCATGCCAAAGACACACATCTATACTTCTCCATGACATCTGAGTCAAGAGAGGCTGCTCATGACCTGGACCACTGTCTTAGCACGAGAATGGACAGGATGAGGATAAATGAGCTGGACTGCGAAGATGGAGACACTCTGGGTGGGTGGTTCTCATGTCTGGGAGGTTGGTCAGTTGCCTCCATGTGAAAGAGCAGCTTTGTAGTTTGGGGTGGCCTTGTTGCTGGAGGCTCCGGCAGCCTCAGTGGCTGAGTGCCTTTTACTAGATATGGCTGGTGTACCAGCAATGGTGGCTGTTCTTGGAGGGGGGTAGTCAGGCCACAACGATTCATGCACTAGTCACCTTGATTCTAGATTCAGGTAGGTAACCGTGTTGGTCTGACGCAGTCAAAATAAACATAAAAATAAATAGTCCAGTAGCACCTTAGAGATCAACTAAGTTAGTTATTGGTATGAGCTTTCGTGTGCAGGCACACTTCTTCAGATACAGTGAAAGAGAAGCCACCAGACCCTTATATATAGTGGGACAGTGAGGTGGTGTTTTCCTGAGAAAAACCTTCCCCTCCTAACCCTCCCACTAAGGGTCTGGTGGCTTTTGCTTCAGTGTATCTGAAAAAGTGAAAGCTTATACCCAGAACAAACTTAGTTGGTCTCCAAGGTGCTACTGGACAATTTCTTTATTTAGTAACCTTGAGTTGTTGAATGAGCTCTAGGTGGGGACTGCCCTCACACCTGGGCTGGAGGCTCCAGCTGGAGCAAAACTCTGCGGCCAGACAGTTGATGGAGAAATACTATCCTGAGCTTAAAAGCTTGCCCAGACACTTACAGGGCCAGCCAGGGGAAGAGCAGAACTCCATGTCACACTATTACACTTGCTGCATTGGGGCAAGCATTTCCGCTCGCCTGATGGAATGATCTCTCCCCCACCCCCCTTGCACCCCCCCTTGTTCTGGGTGCTCTCCTGGGTCCCTCCCCTGAGCCACTTTGGGGTGGGGCAGAAGAGGAGACAAAGTCCCAGTGGTGCTTGGGGACTCTTTGTGTTGGCCCCCACTATGGCGACTGTATAGCTGAGTCCAACCCAAAGTATTTGCATTGATTTTCAAGGCCCTTAACAACTTGGGTCCAGGATGCCCTTAAGGACCACCTGATTTCTTAGACCTCTGCCTGATCCCTGAGGCCTCAGGGGGAGTCTGTGTGTGTGGTCCTTCACAGCTCATATTCAGCAGGTTCAGGAGCATGGGCCCAACCCTGCGGAACCCCCTCTGAGCTGAGATCAGACAGGACCCTCTCTCTGTTGAACGTCTGGTGCCTAGCAGGCATTTTAAGACAGTCCTGATTATATAGTTAGGCTTTTTAAAAAGACAAAACAAAACGCTGTCATATTTGTTAAGCTGACTGCACACTGGTTAAAGATGATTCTGATTAAGTGGTATACATGCATTGCCAAAATAAAATACAAATTATCAGAAATTGGAAAAATAAATACATAAAGGCTAATTCAGGGGGATTAGGTCAAACTGCCCCCTACTTCCCGAACCCCAGCAAATGTCCATCCATCCCTCCTTCCCTTTTGGAACAGTGATTCCCTTCCCAGGTCCATTGAGAAGTGTTGTCATCCAGCTGGCATGAATTATTGAATGTTGCTAAATTTTTAATACAGATAGGATGGCTTAATGAGCCCCTGCATTTGCCCTACCCTGTTAGATCCGCTTGATAAAGACGCCCACATAGCAACGCCCAGCCTCCCTCTCTTGCCTGCCTGCCTTCTTCTTTCCAAAACGGAGGGGCTGGAAGGCAGGCACAGGCCTAGCCCCCGTTACACAAGTAGTTCTTCCTTCAGGGCCACTGGAAGTGGTTAAATGCTGAGCTTGGGTGTTGTCCCAGGAAGCCCTTTTCTCCACACTAAAGCAAAGCTTGGCTACTTGGGCATATGAGTGTTAGTGGAAATAGCAGAAAACTGAGTCATGATATGGCTGCACCCACCTAACGCAGAATAACAGGTAAAACCTTTGCGAACCTCCCCCTGTAGCAGTTTCACAAGTTTCCAGGTGGATTATACTAAACTTGTGTAAGATGTTTTTTCTCACAGACTTCAAGCTACAAGAATTATTGTTCTTGGGGGCTACAGAGGGGGCAAAATATAGTCTGGTTGTGACCCATCCTGGATAGTCACCTTTGGCCTCACCCCTTGGGTCTCATCCTCCACTCAATCAAAGCCAACAGCAGACTCCCTCAACCTGGTGCCCTCCAGATGCTTTGGACTACAACTCTCATCTACTTCCATCAGCGTGGCAGGTGGGAACCCTACTGCACAGTGCTGAGGCTGATAGGAATTGTAGTCCAAAGCATATGGAGGGCACCAGGTTGGGGAAGTCTCGCCTACAGAGACATGGAACACCTGTCCACTGTTGGCTGCTCCCTCCCACCGCTTGTCAGTTTCCCTTCCCTCTGCCTTCACCCACAGTGGTCCTAGCACATGGGTCACTCTCCCAGAGGTATCGTATGCAGCCATGCCCAGTTCCTCCTCCTCCTTTGGCGATCCTTCAGAGCCAAGTAAGATGGTCTTCCATGAACATGGTCTGAACAGGGAGTCCATGACTGTGGAGGCCAGTTCTGGATCCACACGTCCTTCCACAGTGGGGACATACCATAGGTTTCCGGGTGGGTGTTGATCTTGGTGAGGGTTTGCCAAGCGTGCCTTCCTCTTAGCACGTTTCTCCCTTGCGTCCGGAGTTCGAGCGTCTTCAAAACCCGTGGCACCTTTGCTAAAGGCCGTTCTCCAATTGGAGCACTCGCAGGCCAGTGTTTCCCAGTTGTCGGTGTTTGTACTACATTTTTTGGCCTGCCCAGTTCCATGCAGTCCAGGACAGAGGCCCATCCCAGGAACTAGCAGCTGTGGCAAGGAAGATCCTGGGAGCTGCCCTGCAGGGCTACAGGAAAGGGTTAAGGACAGCTGTGCAGGATCAGGCCCATCTAATCCAGCATCCTGCTCTCACAGTGGCAAACCAGACAGGTGCCTGTGGGGAACCCACAGGCAGGATTCGAGCATAAGAACCCCGAGCCCTGAACCTGCAGTTTTCTTGCACTGCTGCAAACCTCAGTTGTTCCTCTGAACATGCGCTGACTTCCCCTCTTGCTTCTCAGTGGCCCAACCTTGTTTTTACAGTCCTGTTGGCACTCAGCACCTGTGTTTGCTATGCACAAATGTCTTACACACACAGATACCACATAGCAGAGCAACATGTTATACAGTGGTACCTCGGGTTAAGAACTTAATTCATTCCAGAGGTCCATTCGTAACCTGAAACTGTTCTTTAACTAGAGGTACCACTTTAGCTAATGGGGCCTCCCGCTGCTGCCGCACGATTTCTGTTCTCATCCTGAAGCAAAGTTCTTAACCTGAGGTACTATGTCTGGGTTAGTGGAGTCTGTAACCTGAAGAGTCTGTAACCTGAAGCATCTGTAACCTGAGGTACCACTGTAAAAACATCAGTGAATGGAAACAAACACGATAGAGTGTAACATAGGATGAATGTAGCTCTGATCATCTTCAATAAAATACAGCAGAAGAAAGATATTTTTGCCCAACCAATTTACAAGCATCCCATCGATGTGTGACTGTGCACGTGTGCATTGTGCTGAACCTAGAGGTGACTTTTCAAAGGCCAAAGCAGCCCTAAAAGAGCCCAGAAAGGGCAAAAAATGCCCTGAGGCCTGTGGGGAGTTGGAGGTGGAGCAAGGAGGTTGTGCTTTACTTCCAGCCTTGGGCAAGAAGTGAAGCACAAGTCCCTGGGCAAGTTGACTTCCAGGTTGGCGACCGTGGGATGGGAGCTGTAAGCCCCGGGAACAGCAGCAGCAGCCGCCAAGGCAGAGAGAGGGGCTTTACCCCCGTGGAATCCTGGAATGGAAGAGCTGGGAGCGACCCCCAGGCTCCTCTAATCCAGGCCCCCGCAGGGCAGCCTCCCTGCTGGCACAGTTCCCCGCCCTCTGCCCGGCTCCGGAGCGCCTGGCCCCGCCGGGCGTGGGGGCGTCGCCGGTGCGGAGGGCGGGCCGTCCCGCCTCCGCCCAGCTCCGCCCCGGGAAGCGGCTTCTCGCCGCCCGCCGCCGCCCGCCGCCTCTCGCTGGCTGCCTGGCTGGGCTGCGGGCGGCGGGGCGTCGGGGCGCCATGGCGCTGCTGCTGGAGTACGAGTTCAAGGCGCTGCCGGCCGACAAGCAGATCGACACGGAGCCCTTCCTGGAGGCCGTGGCGCACCTGCCGCCCTTCTTCGGTGAGCGGCGCTCGCTCCGGGCGGGACGGGGACGGGGCGCGCTTGCACGGCGGGCGGAGGTCCAAGCGGCCGCCTCCTTCCTCCCCGGGGAGACTCGGCCGGCGCCTCGGGCCGAAAGGGCGAGGGACGAAGAAGCGGGAGGCGCCTAGCCGTGTCCCGAGGCTTCGTCGCGCTTCTTGCCATCATTCGGACAAGAGCCCTGCCGGGTCGGCCCATTTCGCGGAGGGAGCGGGTGAGGCTGGGAGAGAGAGAGAGAGAGAGAGGGGGGGGGGCTGCTCTGCCACTATCCAAAGAGGAGAATAAGTCTCCTTCCGTTCCCCATTTGTATCTTGCCTCTCTGCAATGCTGTACACAAAGGGCAGTTTCAAAAAGGTAAAAGAAACCACAAAGACCCCACAACCTGTACAGTCTGAGCCAATGAAAATAACTTGTAATGATAAAAAGGACTATAGGTAGTTTTAGACCCAGAGTGGTGTTGGAGGGGGAAAGCCCAGGGTTCAAATCCCCACTCAGCCCCTGGGTGACCTGAGGCCAGGCTCTGCCTCTCAGCCTAAGCTCCCTCACAGGGCTGTTGTCAGGAGAAAATGGTGATGGACAGAAGTCTATGGGCACCTTGAGCTCCTGGGAGGGAAGGTGCGATATAAATTCATTAAATAAACCTCTTGCGTTGAATGTTGCTATTGAATATTTTGAGTGCTTCCTCTTGTATTGGGCCTTAGAGTTTCTCCCTTCTGCATCTGGAGGGGCCCCGGCTGGCCCAGGCCTCTGTCTCTTGACATCCCTTCACTGCCCAGCCTGGCAGCAGTAGTGGCTTTCTTTTCTTTCCCGCTGGCTTGATGGGTGTGGAACCTGCATGCTAGGAGGCAGTGTATCTGTGCCAAATACTAGGGGCAAAGCATCACGCTTGCACCCTGCTCAAAACATCTAGTGGGCCGTTGTCAAAAGCTTGATTGCAGGAGTGCCAAAGGCAGGTCTCTGGCCTGATTCAGCAGCACTGTTTCAAGCTGCTTGGAGTAAACGGTGCCAATTCAGGGATGGAGCCTCTGTGTTGCTGGACCCCCAGCTCCCATCTCCGTCTCTGCTGTCTCCAGGCAGGGCTGGGAGACCCCCAGGTCTGAACCCTTGGAGACCCACGGTCACTCAGTATCGATCAGCTTTTGCCATCCTGGGCCCCTCAGGGTTGTTAAGACTACAACTCTCCCCACCCCTGAGCATTGACCAAGTTGGCCGAGGCCAACAACCTCTGGGGACTCCAGGCTGAAGAGACCTGATGTGGACAGCATGAGCCAGAGGGACCTCAGGCCGGACTCAGGGTTAAGGTGGCTTCCTCCGGTGGTGAGGTTAGAGTGCTGGGAGGCCAGGGTTTGACCATTTGTCCCGCAGCAGCTTTGGAGCCCTTGGCACGGAGTCATCTCCTGTTTTGTGCTCTGCCTCAGCTTCTCCACTCTAAAAAAAGCAAGAAAAGAAATGATTTAATTTCAGTAGAGTTGTTGTGAGGACAAAGACAGCTGTCACGCAAAAGAAGAGCATTTTATGTAGGAAAAGGGCTGGTGCAGTTCAAAAACAGGATTGTCCTATCCAGTTACTCGGCTCAGAACATCTTGAGGGCACCAGGTTGGCCAAGGCTGCTCTCACTGCAATGCTGCTGGAGCTTGAGAGATCTTTCAGGTCCACCAGTAGCTGGCATTCAAAGGAATAAAGAGGTGCCATTCAGCTATAATTTCTGCTCACCTCACCTCAGAAAATATATTTCAGAGTTGGAATAGAGTTGGACATCCAAAATGATGAAGGGGATCAAGTGAGAGGCAGCAGGATAGAAATTTATAAAATTATGCCTGGCCTGCAGAGACTGGGTAGCTAGAGGAAGGTTTTCCTCCCTCTCTCGTAGAACTCGGGGGCATCTGATGGAGCAGAGTGTTGGAAGATTCAGGACCGAGTAAAGAATGACTTCCTCATGCAGTTAAACTCTGGAACTCCCTTCCACAGGAGGCATGGCAGCCACCAACTGGGATGGCTTGATAGGAGGACTGGACTAATTCATGGAGGGCAGGGCAATCAATGGCCGGTAGCCAGGATGGCTCTGCTCTGCCTCCACAATTGGAGGCAGCAATGTTTGCGAATGCCGGTTGCTGGAAACGGCAGGAGGGCAGAGCTGCTCTTGGGCTTGGGTTCTGCCTGCATGTTTTTCATTGAGGCATCTGGTCGGCCACTGTGGGAACAGGATGCTGGACTCTTTCCTAAGGTTTCCATCTGTCTCTTCTGACAAGTTTTGGCAGGGCCTTTGCCGTGCCCTTGGGCCTGTTGTCACGTGGGGCACCTGCAAAGGTGTGGCTGGGGAGAGGAACCTGTGGGGAGGTGGCACCCCTGCCACTTGGGTTACCTAATTGCCAGCCTGGCCTTATCCTGCAGCTGTGTGTCTGGCAGGGACTCAGCTTTCCTTCTAAGTCCAGAGGCTTGATCTTGGCAGAACCCAACAACCTCTTTTTCTTGCCTCTAGCCCTACAAGAGAAATAGGTTTTTTAAACGCAGCTGAAGAAATGGCCACCAGAAGGATGCTGCTGGATCCGTCCAGGGCACCCTGAAGTCCAACATCCTTTTCTCACAATGGGCAACCAGCCACCCCAATGGAAAGCACAGAAGCACAACAGCGCTCTCCCCACCTGTGATTCCCAGCTATAGCATTGTTATGGGCTTTGGGGGGGGGCTCAGGCTGGATGATACTAACATGTCCCTTCCAATCCTGTGCATGCATAGTTAGAATCAGTGAGAGGAAACCTACTGATCCAGTTTGACTAGTCTCTTGGCTAAGCTAATGGCCTCAGCTTGCTAGTTAAATACTGCTGTTTACATGTCCAGAGAGGTTGCTCTGCTGCCATAGAGACAACTGGGTGGGCCTTTTCCCACCTCACCTGGCAGATCCTATGTCATTCTAGGATGGAGAACAAGAGGCCAACTATCAGAGGGGGGCCCTGAGGTGTGCACAACAATATTAGAGCCATGATGGCTAGTAGTCATGATCCTTCATGGATTTGTCCAGTCCTGTCTTAAAGCCATCCAGGTTGGTGGCCATGATCTTGTTGGAGCAAGTTCCAGTGTTTTAAGCTTTAAAGAAGCCTGTCCCGACTCTTCCAACACTCAGATTTACTGGGTAACCCCAACTGATTTTTGTATGGCGAGTCAGGGAGGAAACCTTCTTTCTGCCTGTCCACAGTCTCCAGAAATGTGGGCATTACCTTCTCTTTGCAAAGCCTTTGTGCTTCTGGTTTCCCCAGGGACTGGCTGCATCCCTCCAGACCATGGAAAGGTGCTCTGGACATGCTCAGAAAGGCACCTCCATTGCAGCATGTCCTCTGGGAGCAGCCATTAAGGCCTCCAAGATTCAGGACAGTGAAAGGGCTTCTGCGAATGTCCTCCCTCAGGAGGCTGCAATGGCCATCAGCTTGGATGGCTTTAAAAGAGGACTGGACAAATTCAAGGAGGAGGAGAGGGCTGCCAGTGGCTCCTAGCCTGGATGGCTCTGCTCTGCCTCCACACTGGAAGGCAGCAGTCCTTTCGAATACCACAGGATGTCAGGGGGCTGTCAGGAAAGGCAGGTGCATCCACAGGTCAGAAGGAAGACTCAAGGTGAAGTCAGCTTTTTTATTCAGAAAAGGAAAACGCAGCAGAGTTCACCCAGGCTCAACTGCCCTAGTTGAAGACATTGCTGGGACTGGCATCTGGCCCTCCTTTGCTCTCCAGCCCTCTTCCTCCGGACCCCTCCCAAGCAACTCTAGCAAGAAGGAGGGATCCCCCTCTAGGCCTGTTGCTCAGCAACACACGGCTCTTCATGATCTGGGTGTCAGTGGAGGAGGAGAGCTTTCTGTAGAGGGACTGGCCAACTGCTGTGAAGCTGAGGCAGCGTCCGGCTCTCCTCTCTGCTCTCTTTCAAACTGAGACCCTTGGCACTCAGCCCTGTCCTGGAATGGCTTCCCTGGTTCATGGGGTCAATGACCAGACCCCATCTTCAACACTGTTCTTGAGCTAAATGGTGTCCTTCTGAGCATGCACAGAGTATCTTTCCGCTGGAGTAGCCACGGTCTGGAAATGTGGGGTGTGCCTTCTGGGCTTGGGAGTGTTTTCCTGTGATCCTGAGTATTACATGGCACAGTCTGTGCACCTAGATATCTTTATTTTTCAGGAAGGATTATTTGTGGGTGGGGGGCAGTTGTCTGTTTTTCTGCCTTCAGGAGATGCTGGAGCAGCTCCTCTGAACGGGGTTTGTCTAAGGAAAATCTCTGTGTTGAGGCCATGGGGTAAACCGAGAAGTTGAGCAAATGTTTGCCAAGGAGTCGCTGAGCGCTTTGTCCTGCCTGGCTGCACTTCTTGCAAAAGTGATCAAAATGCGCCACGTAAGGAAAGTGATCGCTGGCTTGTCAAATAAGGAGCGCACTTTCATAATGGATGTAACTGGAACTCTTTGCTCCCTGGGCACCTTGGGCTGATTATGTTTTATGCGCTGCCTTCTCACTGTACCAGCCTCAGGGTATCTGTTGAGCGGAGCTGTCAATTGTTAAAAAAATAATAACCTTAAATTCATGAGAGCCAGAGCTCATGAAAGGTCCTAATCTGGGAAGGGATCAAGCTGGGGACCAGTTCAGAAGGCTGGGACTCAGGAACAATGAAGGAGGGTTCTGATATGTATATCCAGGCCCACTGAGTAAGTACGGCTCAGCCCTGCTCACCTGGCGGATTCTCTGCCTCTCTAGAGCATTTTTAAACAATGGAAACAAGGCAGTCCTCTAAGAGACAGGACACAAAAAGGAAAAGCAGGGAGGGGGGAAAGCAACACAGCTCCAAAAAGGAGCTTCGTAGTTCTTATAATGGCCGATTGTTAAGCACACAGTTTGAGAGGTTGGTTGAGTGCAAGAATGTAAAACTGAATTGGAGCAGCCTGTGGAAATTGCCTTACTTTGAGGAAGGAGTCATGTTGAACTAGCAGAATTCAGCAAACCCCCCACCCC